TCTCAGCAGGAGCTGGAACCTATTTGTACTGAGACAAGTAGATATTTGAGACCTTAGATCTTACAAGTTAGATCTGTACATGTATTTTGTTGAAATATTTTGTGTAAGGCTTGAAAGAAGAAAGAGAACTTAGCCACATATGAAAATTCATAATCCTTCAAAACAAAATTACAAAGATTTTAAACAGCGCTAAACTGAGGATTTATAGTATGCTTAAGCTGTCCAAATAAAATGGAAATGAACTTGAAAATTAATTCTTGAAAATTCAGCATGTGCTTTTATTATTTTAGCTAAAAGGATTTTGAAAGTAGCCTGTATAGTTTCTAGGGGTCCATGGATATCAACCCTGCTGTCCTTTCACCTCCCCACCCCCTATTCTGCAGAAATGGAATGATTTAAATTCTGTAATTTTTAAGTTTGATAAGTAGTGTGACAAATATAATAAATATAATAAAGAAGTGAGCATTTGTAACGCAAGCTCCTGATAGGAATAAGCACTGATAATACTCTAAATTTTTTCTGCCCCTTTTTTTTTTAATATGGTGGCAGATAGGCTGTAAAAACAAGAAAAAAAACCCTCTCGTTTCATGTAAATGAAGCTAGTAAAAGCAAAAACTGGAAATTTGTTTATGTATATTGCAGTATGCCTGGAAAATTCCAAACCTAGATCATAACTTTTTTTCCTGCTTTCTTTTTCAGATCCTCTTGTGCTTACTGTGCGTTGTAATTATCATAGCTACAGAGCTGTGGACACATATTCACTGGTTTACTCAGCTAAAACGTGTTTTATTAATCAGTTTTCTGATCAGTTTTGCATGGAATTGGCTTTACTTGTATAAGGTAAGTTGTTTAAAATTTCTCACCATTTTAGTTTAACGATTTTGTAGTTATCAGAGATTTTGGGTTTTCTTTTAGTTTATTTAAAAATATAATTGATTGCAAAGTAAATACAGGGATGAAAGTTTTACTTTGTGTATTGACAGGTTTATTAGGTTTAAAAAAACAACAAAAGAAGCACTGCCAATTTCTGTCTGGGTGCAGAGATGCCTCAACTTGCTGCAGAAATGTAAACTCTAAGGCAGCTTGTTGGGAAAGTCTTCCGGAAACAGTATGATTGATGTTGGCTTTGTTTGTTTCTTCAGAGATTCACTAGCTGGAATTGTATTTAATGGGTGACCCAGCAGAGATGAATGCTCCATTAATGGTCATAAAGTAACCAGTTGTAGAGTGGTATTGGAGTTAATGAGAAGGAATTTATCCTTCCAGGCCATAGCCCAGAATGGAAGTCCAGAATCCTGCAGAACACTGCGGTACAGGATTTGCAGACAGGGAAGTGCGGCACGGCAGAGTTAGGATGGTCCTTGATTGAGTGGGCTGCTGTGGGAAGGACTTAGTGTGGGGTGTTAAAGAACTGATGTTTTGACTGAAAAAAAAATCTTTTCTATTATGAGTTGTAGGGCAAAAATAGTTTGTGTTAGGAGGACTTGTGTTTGTGTTAAGAGGCATTATTTAAAAAAATAGAGAAAAGTGTCCTGGTGTTTTAATTAGTAATTTCATGATAACAGTCTGTCTTCTCCCACTTCGCCATCAAATCCAAGTGTATTTTAGGGAAACTTGTTACCAACTGGCTTTTGCCGTAAGTTTTTATCTTTGATATCCAGCAGTTGGTACTGTTCGAAGAAAACTGCTTTCCTCCAAGTCAAAAAAGTCATACTGTTTGGCAAATGGAGATCTGCCTTTCCAGATTTGTAATAATCTGGATCGCAGCACTATCTTTATTTCCTACATGTAATTCTGATTCTTCTGCAGATGGCCTTTGCACAACATCAAGCAGAAATTGCCAAAATGGGGCAGTTTGATAACGTCTGTGCTGAGAAGGTGGACTGGAGTGGAAGTCTCATTGGTAAATATTTGTTTGGTTGTTCTGTAACAGTTATTAAGGCCACAGAACATTCAGAAAAATCCAAGCTAGTAGGAACATTCTGTAAATAATTTCTTGGTGAGTACTAAGTGTGTTGAATCATCTTCTTAAGCAGTGTGTGAGTGTGTGGTTAAATCATGGTTCCATTCCACAGGGCTTTCCTTCCCAGGCCTGGCAAGGAGAGCTCATCGGCCACGCTGCTGTCTAGAGCACGTCCTGGGGTTACTGCTCAGCGCTAACGCTTCGCGCACTGGCCGTTCTCATCGCACGGGTGCCCCCTACTTCCCTCCAGTACCAGTCAGCGCGCAGTTTAGTCAAGAGAGGGCAGAATTCAGGAAGATTTCCTCATCTTCTAAGCACTCCATATTCATGTGAATACAGAAACCTGTTCAGTAGCTATTCACCCCGTTATTATTTTATGAGCATAGGTGAATATTTTTTATTAGCCAATTGAGTTGAATGGTTGCAGTTCTTAACAAATGCCTGTTATCTCTTTCCACTGGAGCTTATTGGTTATGATTGCTGTATCTTTGTCAAGTTTTAAGTATGACTCCATGAAAGTCACACTGCAGTTAAGTCATAAATTATTTGTTCATAGCTTAGTTAGGTTCTGCTCCATCTGTAGTTGACGTGTTACTTTCTATCTTACTCCCGTGTTGTAAAGTATGACAAAAGGAGTGAAAAAACGTGTCTGTGCTTTGACTATAGAATGGCTCAGAAGCAAGTGGACATTTCAGGATGATCCCTGCCAGAAGTACTATGAAACCCTACTTGTGAATCCTATTTTGCTGGTTCCGCCGACAAAGGTATTCACCAAATAGGATGTAATTGCTCGTGTTTATGTTTAATCAGTGACAACATTGCTTTTCTGTGCATCTTCTTCTAGGCCTTGGCTATTACTTTCACGACGTTTGTAACGGAGCCTCTGAAACACGTCGGGCAAGGCATGGGCGAGTTCATCAAAGCGCTCATGAAGGAGGTGCCCTTTCTCCTGCAGGTGCCCGTGCTCATCATGATGGCTCTGGCGGTTCTGGTTTGTATGCACTTGGCTTCTACTTACAGCATCACTAAGCGTATTGTAACTGATGTATTATTGATAGTTAAGTATTATCATATAATACTTATGTGTATATGTAAGTATATATTACTTATAGTCCAACCCCCCTGCATACGCAGGGAACAATATAACAATATACTTGTACATATGTATGTATTGCTTAAATTTCTTACTTATACTACTGAAAGATTTGTTAGAACAGTTAAATTCTTCTAATATACAGGGTTCAAGGGATTTATTTCCTTGACAACATTTTTATAGTACAGTTGATTTGTCATTAGAAATAGTTAAGTTTAAATTTAGCCTGTCTTTCTCTTCCACACTTCATTCCACATTTGCCATGTAGGAATAAAATAGTAAGGTAACCTAAGATCCTAGAATCTATGGCAGTTTATTTCTAACTCAGCTTCCACCTGCGCGCAATTTGAGTTTTATATATAAAAGCACTGAGTTTTGAGCTTATTGTAACCACTCTGATCATCTGAGCTGCTCCTTCCAGGTCTTTCGTCAGTGTGAAGACTGCAGTTTGAGTCTTTGTTCTGATTTTTTTTTTCTCTCTCCCAGGGTTTCTGCTATGGTGCAGGCTCTTCAGTGTCCATGTTAAGATACTTAACATCCCCTCAGAGGCAGACGCTCCCTCCACCCAACAGCCAGCAGGACTCAGTAGACTTCAGGCGGTACCACGCGGGTGACTCGGACACCTCCCCTTTACGGGAGCCTCCTGCTGTGACCAGAGGGCCCTTTGACAGAGGCGATGCCTGTGCCAGGCCTGGCAGCAGCAGCAGAAGCCCTGACCTCGCCCATGCAAGCCACGAGCCGGACACGCAAGTACAGGAGTCCCACAGACTAGAACCCAGTGTATGTTAGCTAGCCTAGGGCTCTCTGAGCCCAGATTAAACTTACTAGACTGAAGTATCAACTAGTCTTAGGACGGAACTAGCTTCAACAGCAAGCTTAATCCAGATGCTGTGTAGAGGAGTTAGGAAATACCTGTTGCCTTGTAGAATAGCCCTAGATAGAGTGTTTCAGGCATATTTTTTTTGTTGAAAAATAGTGGGCAATGGTTAGCAGTGACAGGAAACTACCACTCTTCATTGAAGCACCTTACAGTAAAGGATTTAAATAACTTCATTATTTTGGTGTTTAAAACGCTGATCAGCCTGAGCTTAAAGATTACCCTCAGAAGAGAAAAAAATCAGTACTGACATTTCTGTAAGGTACAGAATACATTTATATTAAAACTAGACCTATATTCTAGATTGTGCTTATTTCCATGTACAGCTTCCCCAGGGGAAAAAAAAGCTGCCAAATATATTCCAGAGTTTTGCCTCTGGAGCTGATACACCTGAGGAACTGGATCCCCTCACTTCAGCTTGCTTAATAGCTTATTATTAATTTTTACAGACTAGATTGCACACTGAGTCTGACGTTTGTAGACTAGCAACTCTCACAGCGGAATGTCTTCCTGAAGAGCCTGCACCTGAGCAGCACAAACAGCAGCTGGGCAAAGCAGAGCAAGGGGCTGGAGAAAACTACACACCTAATAAAAAGCTGGAAGAAGAAAGTCCTACAATGGGAGCACTGGAACACAAGAAAGAGAACGGGGTGTCGTGTGAATCACAGGAAAGAGACTGAGGAGTCATCACACTGTAAGTTTTGCTTAAGCTGTATTTGTCACACATTTGTTGTGTTTTCTACATTTGAGACCTAGAGTGGAACATCAGCAAGCTGAGAGAACTCGCCTTGGTCACAGCATTAGCATCTGTAGGGTTTCAAACAGAGAGGCTGAGTGCACATTATCCCTTTACTGCTCTTGGAACTTAGAATAAACTTACTAAGATATTACATAAATATTATATAAATAAGATATTACAAGTAGTTATATAACACAACATTAAATAGAAACAGGCTTGTGGTGTTGCTGCTCATCCTAAATCAAATTTGTATAATATGTTTCAAGTAAAATTAGGTATTTTGTGGTGGGGCAACATGAGTTGTTTATGATTTAGCTAACATTTGTCTAGTAAAACAGCTTGAGGTTGCTGCTGTTTAGCCTGATTCTGCTGCAGCACTGATATGTAATTACAGCTCCTCTAGAATTCTCAGGACTAACTGCAGAGAATTCTGTCTTTCAAATCACTTTTAAGTGGGCAGAATTGTCAGCTCAGTTCTGCAAGATCTTAATGATTATCTTCTAGTGCAATAATCTGCCTAGGAGTAAGGAACTGATGCTGTAACACTTTTCCTAGGAAAATTCCCAGTGCTGGAGAGGGAATAGCAGACATTCCAGGAAAGGTACTAGAGAGCTGCTTAAGGAAGTAATGGTAGCATGTGGGTTTGGAAGAACATTCTGGCATTTCCCCGTAAGTGCAAGGAGAACAGTGTTAGCTTCACTACAAGTCAATTTTCAAGGCTTAAAAAAAAGCTGTAAGAATGTATATATAAAAAAAAACAATTTTAATTTAAAGATGGAGATCACTTGATTTATACCTGGAGCGAATAAATTTTCCACCTTTGCTGTTACAGTCTGTGACTTTTAGCTCACAAGAGCAGTACTTAAACGCAGCTCAGGGCTAGGAGCCACATCAGGACCGATGTCCATGGAACAGGGGGGACAGTGACAGCAGCAGCAGGAGTGGCTGGGGTAGGTAACAGGCAGCACAGACAGTTGTTGCCTCCAGCTGCAGGAAGGACCTGCTGGCCAGGCTGAGCCCCTGGGGCCTAGAGCACTGGAGGTGCTCCAGGCAGCACCCACATCTGCTAGTTACAAACAAGTACATCCTCTTAACAATTATGCTGACTTTTATACTTTTATTCTTAAATATTACCAAAATAAGTCAAGCATGCTTTTAAAAGCATACTTTTGAATTAAACAGAATTACAAGTAACTTATTAAAAAGCATTTTTTTAATAAAAACTCATTGTAACACAGTTTAGAAGAAGCAAAGACAGAGGAAGTACTGAGGCTATTCATTTCTCAATTATTTTTTAAAAAAGTACAAAAGAAAACAGAACCTTTTTCCAGGAAATTACAAATTGCAGAGGTGGGCAGAGGAAGGGAAATCAAGTTTTCCTTAAAAAGAAATTATACAAACTTAGGTTTTACACTAGACAGAGATAGCAGTAGAATAGAATCCACACATCTGTACCACGAGTACCTTGACAGAAAACCCCTATTAATGTAAGAGATTACAGGCAGTTAGAGGGAGAGGCAGTAGTCAGTGATTCCAACAGACACTGCTAAAAGTAGCTGCCAGCTACGAACACGAGCAGCAGCTCTACCTTTAACTACAGGTCAGTGAGGGTGATGATGCTATTTATAAAAAGAAAATAAAATTACTAATTGCTTTCTTTTTTTTTAAAAAAAAGGCATGTATGTTTTCCCAGCAAACAAAAATGATATGTAAGATGTTACTGTACAGAACAAGCCTGTTACTTGCTTCAGCTAGAACTTGGTCCTTTTATAGCTGCGGGTAAATGCACCCTCTGCTCATCCATTCTCTTAGCTTGCGATCGTAAAATGAGGCTGAAAAAATCCTCATCGGGAACAGTAGGTCCTTTGGCAGCTGAGGGGGGAGCACATCTTTGATCATCCAGTCTGGAGCCCTGCAGAGACACCAAGCAAGAGCAGTGTTTATTTACATGATAGAGAAGGCAACTTATAAAAATTACTCAAAAGTTCTAGTTTTCTGATGTAAGAGACTTACAAGGGTTTAATTTCTAAGTTTTTTTCTCTAGTAGCTGAGCATGCAGAGAGATCACACTTCTGATATGAAATTGCTAGGTCAAAGGTGCAAATACTGAAAATACCAAATCTAGTTGTCATTATTAACTAGGTTTGTTATCATTAGATAATAACTAGATACATCATAGCAATATAACTAATCATCATTAATAGTTATCATTACTATCATTGTGTGCAACAATATTTACATGTTTTTGTCTCGAAGCATAACTTTAGCATTGCTGCTTTGTGTTTCTAGTCAGACAGTGCAGAAAATAGGCTCGTCCTCTGACATACCAGCTCTGTTCTTTCTTTAGGTGAGGGTTCTTGCTCTTTTCTTAGAAGCTGTCTGGCACACGGCAGGAATGGGACTTTCCCAGCTCGTTTTCTTTCACTGCTCAGGGAGTAAAGCTAGCTGTGCTGGTGTAGTGCCTGGACACTCTTTTCCGGGCCGCTACTGGTACCTGGGCACAGTGGTGCTGCCGCTGCCCTGCGGGATGTGCCCGCTCCAGCTCTGCGCTCCGCTCGCGCAGCGGCCCCTCCTGCACAGCAGGGCACACGCGGAGGGCATTGCCTGGCACTGCGGAGCTGCTATAGATAGTGTGAGGAGAGCGAGAATCCCTCAAATGAATCTAGAGATTCTGCGAGCAGAGAGCAGACACATTACTGCTTCACCACACTGATGAACATGCCACCGTGTCCGGTTCTGCTTCCTGCCCAAGGTAACCTCAGAAAACCTAGTCTGGATCCTTACCCATGCCCCAGAGTACCAAGGCTCTGGTTCTCTTTAGTTATAATGTGCTCTAAATGATAACTGGACACATCACTTATTGCTATGAATTAGTATTTCAGTTTATCACAACAGGAATAATAATCATAATAATCAAAACTGAAAATTTAATAGTAAATTATTTCATTTGGGAAGTTAGAAGGGCATCTGATTCACTAGAAATCCTAACAAATGAGATCTAAATGCTTTTTCTCTAAGCAATCATTTTACCCATGCCTTTCCTGCATCCCTCCAGTTCATCACTTCATTTAAATTGCTAACAGCGTAATAATTTGGAGAAATATTTCTTATAAAGAATTCTATTATCTTACAGAGAGTTACTTTATGTCCCTATCCTGCAAGCCAATTTACATCTTAAAATACATGGTAAGCATAGAAGCTTACTTGAAGAACTTAAACACACAAACTAAATTCCCAAAGACTCGGAATCTGAAGATTGTTTTTGCTTACCTGGCATTTTACAAGTATGTCAAAGAAGTCGTCGTCCAGGTCCCTGTTGGCGCTGGCCACGAGGCGGTCGAGGCGCAGGCCGGGCAGGCGGCTGCAGCTGGCGCGTTGGTCATCGAGGCGGCGGCTCTGCGAGCTGGCCAGAAGGTCCAGGAACTCGTCTGTGTGGGGAGACACCACGGAGGCTGAAAACGCTGCAGGAGAGGAATAAAAGCAAATTAGCCTAGAAATAATTCCCCACCAGAGAAGGTCTGGCAGGCAAATACATTTTAAAACAGTATGTGCCAGGAACTAAATTCAGATAGGGATGTTAATAAAAACCATTACATTTTCTCATTGTTTTAGGTGGAGTAGAGGATGTGGCTACGGCAGCAGCGGAGAATCTGTTCTTCTCCTGGAAGAAGCACCTCTGATCATCCATCCTGTTACTCTGGAATCGACTCAGCAGGTCAAAGAACCCCTCATCTGCCACTGTCTCCCGATTGTTTTTCTGAAGAGGACAGAAAAGTTAGAGCAAATGCTGAACTCAAAGGCACCTAAATCCAGGACAGCTGCATGGTGGTTTCAATCCAGCAAGATTTTTTTGTATTGGAGTATCAGAGACTGCTAAGCACTATTTTTTTGAGTCATCCATTTTCTATAGATGGAGATTTATCCTACAGTAATAGCAAATGCTAACATTATGGCAACATTTTTGGGAGATAAAATCTCTTAGAAACATTTAACTCTGAAACTGAGAGAACTGGTACTCTGATCACTACCACAGGAGGTTTCTCCTCAGCTCTTAACACACCAAAATTCAAGTGTCCATCAAGGAAAAAACAAAAGAGCAGTAATGAACATATTACAATTGCTCCTCAGATATATGGTTCTCTCATTTAGATCTAATGATGAAATTCTTGTTAATTTTAACTGACTTATGTCAGGAGTGTAATGACCTATAAAACATTTATCAAAGAAAAATATCCCACGGGCTGATTCCAGGCAAGCTTGAAAGACAGTAAGAGTAAGAAACCTAGATTTTGGTTCCGTTTGGAGAAATATGATCTGAGAGAGATTCTAGAAATAAAATGTACGTGCCAGCTGACCTAAAACTTTAGAAAATCTACCATGAAAAAAAATGTAATAGTCAGAAAAGCTTAAAGCCATCATCATCCAGGAGACGTATAAAAATGGTAGATTGTATATCAACTCAAGTGGAAATTAGGTAAGCAAGTAAAACTAAAACAGATACCTGCAGGAATGTGTTTGCTGTAATTTTCATCAATGGAAGATTTAATAAAAAAGCGGTAATCTCCAATCCTACCCTTTGGGAGGCTGGCAGTCGATGATCAATAGAATTACTGGCATCCTGCAGGACTTTGGAAGTGCTGCTGGTTTTGTACTTTTTGCCTTTCAGTCGATTTACAAAATGCAGCTTAGCTGAAGGTTTGGCAACCAGGGGTTTCTGCTTAGCAAGAATCTCACTGTTCCAGTTCTGAACCTAAGAAAATAAGAGTCATGAAATTAACTCCGTTAATTACGTTACACCGATGCCTCTCAGAATTGCTTCTTTTCCACCTCAAAGTGAAGCAACTTTACCTTTAGTTGATCCTGCCACTTCGCTTTTGGTTATATCATGTATGTGATACATGATTAGTGAGATCTTATTTACCTGAAGCAGGTTAACACTCTTGTAAAGGTAGGGCTCTTAAAGGAGCCATAGTGGGACACCTGATAGATTAAAATGTGGTATAATGGTGTATTTAATCAAACACCCAGAAGTTTTCCTTACTGTCTGGGGGGTAGTTAATATGACTACTAAAATTCAGGTACAGGGGGCAGTTCCCCCAATGACATTTTGACACTTGAAATAAAACATGGCTTTAGAGGGGGAGAGCAGAGCAAAGCCTTGTGTGCAGCAACTCTCCCCTAGGCTTTTGCAGAGACCGTTAGATACACCCACGTCCCAATAAAGCTTGAAAAGGAAGAGTGAGACAAATGCCAGCAGTCTGACTTCGTCACCCTGACTGAGTTTGCATATTTTCTCTTTGAGAATAAACAAAATTATCCACAAAACAGATAAGCTACAACTAACATTCTTTTATAATAACTGCACAAGAAACACTTTTTCCCTTGATCCACCATCAGAAATGGTGTCCGTAAGCACAAATCCAGCAGCAGCACTGCCTGTCACAAGGGAATTTCCTTTAAAGGCTTAAGCTGCACCCAGGAATGGCAGTGTGGAGAGCAGCGTGCACCGCAGAGCCGCCTCGGAGCCCCACGACCTGTTCGGTAACAAAAACCTTCATGGGAGGAGTGGCCACATGCTGCTACAATAGGAGCTTGAAGAAAGCCCTTTACTAAAAGCTAGGCTGGGCTACAAGGTTAATACTTTATTATAAAAATCCATGTGAAATGTTTTGGTATATTTAGGGGAAGATCTGTCGCACAACATTTTGAAAGATATCACAGATAAAGGGATTTAGAGATAAGAAAATACAGCTGGTAATAACCAAAAGTTTAGAGAGTCCCCAGAGAGAAACAAGTCTGGAATAAACCCCATTCTCATTTTAAATCAGTGTTCAACAAGGCTCTGGGCACGAGTAAGCTCTGCACAAATCACCACATATGAAAGATACTGACTTACCTGCCTGGCAACAGTCTTACTTGTCACCTCTAATTGTTAGACCTGCTTTTACCTAATTGTTAAGATCAGCTAAATGAAAGGAGATGCAAATGACACATCAACGTTTGCCACCTTCTTTCAAAGCAGTTAGGTACAAAACTTCTGATTATCTTGTCCTAGACCCTCTCTTGATAGCAAAGTCATACCTTACAGTAAAACCCTGGGAAATCTTTTTTGCAGCCTTATTGGAGGACCAGAGAGAAAAGTGCCAACCTTTTCTGGCGTTAGTTTCATCAGTTCCATGTTTTCCATACTGTGACGGCGTCCTGCTCTCGGCCTGGCACCTTCAGGAAAGAAGCAGGTTCATCTTTTCATCACTGAGATTGGTGGTGGTACTGTCGAAGCAGGGCTCTGCCTGTATTCGCCTAACTCCAAGATACAGCAACCCGAGTTCCCAAATGGTGCGGTTAAACTGACCAGCAGACAGCAAATACAAACAGCCCCCAAACCTCACAGATCTGTAGAAGGACCATGGAGCTCATCAAATTAACCATCTTCTACGGAAAGCCTCGTGTTGCTAAGATGGCCAGACATAATTTGGTAGCAAGTATACAAACTTCCCCCCTTGAAAAATGAGAAATAGCTAGAATCTCAATATTCATGTGAAGGAAATAAGCAATACCCTGTCATTCACCATGTAAATCCTCCAAAAAATTAGGGGCTAAAGGGGCCCGGTACCGCAAAAATAACCATTACACAAAGCAGCAACATACACGAACAATTAACGCAAGTAACAGATTTTTTTTCTTTCTAAAGTTCACTGTTAGGATTCTATAAATAAGCACATACCATTCAAACTATTATCAGCCACGTGGTTTTCTGACATCATGGAGTTATTTGTGCTATAGCTCAGCCCAAGAACCATCTGAAGATCAGAGAGATTCAGTCTAGCAGTGAGTTCTCCACTTCTATCTCCAACCTGCAGCCATATAAAATAAGCAGATCTAGTACTGCAATAAAATATGTACCTATGTAAATATAAAGCAAAGATCTTCTCCCCGAGCCCCTGGTTGAAAACTGAATTAGCTTTTTATTGTATTTTAATGCAAAAGCTAAAAGCAGGGTATAAACCAGAGCCTGAAGTAATCCTGCTTCCTCAGTACAAGGCATGCAGACACATTGTACCTACTGCCCTGCCAGGAGAGCAGAAGGCAGCGGCCGGCACGTGCGAGGGGGTGCAAATCCTACCTCTCTGGAAATCTCCAAGTGCCTCTCTGCAAAGTGCATCGCTTGGTCGTGGTTCCCCAGGGCAGTGTAAGCATTGCCCAGGCTCCAGCACGCGCGGCCTTCACCAATTCTGCAAAGAACGAGCCCATGGTCAAGCACAGCTCCCCTTCCTGACCCAACACTAGGGGGCAGGTTCTCGGAACGAGGCCACTACTGGAAGGCTGCGCCAAGGGAAAACAAGATTCCCATCAGAAACTCTGCCAACACGGATGCATTAAAGTATCTTGATTAAAGAACTGTGAGCTGGGCATAAGCATAAATGGGAACAAATCCCATCAAATCGTGGATTTTCAAACTCTCAGCGCACAACTTATTCCTTCCAGTTTTGCAAGTGTTATATGTAGCAAATGGATCTTCCAATCACCTACCTGTTGCCCCAAGGGAAAAGAAAGCTACAAAAAATTGAACAAATTTTAGTTGCACCCCACCCAACATTGTAGAAAAACTCAGAAATCATGGTCTTAAAAACACGCGTTACTTGCTAGTGGATTTATTCTTTCCCTTCTCACTGTTCCTCATTTGTGGAAAAGCAAAAGATACCTGTTCTTATGAAAGTATGCAAAAGTACTGGAGTCAAGTCCTAGAAAACAAAGATCTGCTTCTGTTTTTCTTAATTTACAGAGGAAATACTGATACAAGATGTGGAAACTGTCATTCATCAATGCTGTAAAAAACTGAAGAAAGGCTCAGGCTCACTACCTGAAATACCTTCAAGAGGTTTTTTTTTCCATTTAGAAACTAGAACCCAGCATTGTAGAAATTCACATGAATTCAGATGTCATATAGAAAAAAGCAGATCTAAAAGGTAACAGGATTTGGTTTAAGTGTCACACATACATTAAACAATCTCTCGGGACCTACTTATCATTTAACTCCTGAGCAATCACCAGGTGTTTCAAATGATAATCGATTGCTTTTTCGTAGTCTTGGAGCAAGGTGTAGGTGTTCCCCAGGCTGTAGCAGGCCTGCGCTTCCACTGCTCTGTCCTTAAGCTGCCGAGCCAGCTGCAACGTCCTCCTAAAAGAAACAGGAGGTCACTGCAGAAATCACTGGGAGGAAGTTGTACATAGTAAGTTTGTACATAGTGTGCAAACCTGTGCAACTAAAAATCACTTACACAAATCCATCAAGTTAAGTAACTAGGCAAATTTGCTAATCTATATCTCATAAAATTTTGTAAGATTTTAAGTGCCTTTCTTTCTTCCACTTCCCTGCAAACAATTTCCATTCACTTTATTAGGGAGCAAACTGGTCACTTAAACTAATTTCCTAATTTGAATCAGTTGCTTCATCAATTATTTATAGCAGTTTTCCTGACAGTTTGGACTTGACACAGTTTCCTACCAGCATTAAAATAAATGCAGTATATTCTCCATTGATGCCATAATACCTGAAACCACGAAGCCAGCTTGTCCTTGCTGGCTAAGAGGAATTGCAGTGCTAAGCAGATTCTGCTCCATGTTCAGCCTTTTTTCCTGTTTCCAAAAACAACAGGCAGCCTAGAGTCACTAACACCCACACTGTACCTTTGCAGTGTATTTTCCCAAGTTACAGCAGCAACAATTGCTTGTACTGAGGGGATGAAGAAAACTTCTGGATTAAGAATACAGCTCGAATTTTGACATGCACTATATCAGCAACACTAAAGCCTGCTCTTATCTCTCCAAATTTTTATTAAGAGCTAAGGCAGTAATGTTTGATCTGCAAAATGACAGCAAAAAGATGTCTGCAGTGTCAATAAAGTCTATAAAGTAACCAAAATGTTAAGAAACAAATACTTTGCTAAATAAATCCAATTCATCTCTAAGTATATGCTGAAGAGATGGTCATTCTACAGTCAGCTAAAGTGCTAAGCACAAGGAAAGTATAAATGTGTAAGATAGATATGAAAGTTATAAGCAGTCAACTAACTTGTAGTATTCAGAAGCAGTTTCAAATTCACTCAGGAATATGTAGGCATTTCCAAGATTGCTGTAGGCTCTTCTTTCAGCTGAGGTATCACCAAATTCTTTTGCAATTAGTAGACGCTTTAAAATATTAAACAAGGACATTAATCAGTCAGCTTTACATTACAGAACACACACACGCACCCAGGAGTGCCTGCCACCGCGTGAAGCGCCCGTTCTTCAGGCCAGCACTCGATAGGGACAGCCGGACCCGGAGCTGCGCGTTAAGATCCAACGCCCACCTTGCGCCGAGAGCCTTGCAAGAGGCAACACAACCCGCGCCCACGACACCGCAGCCGCCAGCCATGTGCTGCTGGCCCAAGCAGCGCTCCCTCCTGAGCACTGTCCTACCTGTTCGTGGGCTATAACTGCGCTCCTGAAGTTCCCTAGGAGGTAGTGGGTATTGCCCAGGTTCCCAAAGGCTCGGCCTTGCGCCGCTCTGTCCCCCAGCTCCGTTACTATCGTCAGGTTTTCCCTGGTGAGAGAAAAGGGAACAAAGGGGGAAGAGCAACAACCTGTAAGTTGTTTTTTTTCTTATAGTCATGGTCACCAGAAAAATCTCCCACTGTTCTAATGAATTAAATGTTTGTATCCTCACAATCATCAGCATTTAAAGTTGCTACTTACTCATAATAATTTGCAGCTTTTTCTAATGCATTTTTCACATCATCTGGAAGCTCGCCTGGCTCATGAGTCCCTGCACAAGCTACACTTTTCCCTTTAGAGTGATAAACATTTCCCAGATTGTAAAGCGCTCTTGCTTCTCCCACCTAAAACAAAAGCAACATGTTAAAAAGGCTCTAAACTTCGTGCTTTAGGCTCGTGTCTTGCCTAACAAGTCAGCGCAGAAGGCAGAAAAGCTCTAAGCACCTGCCAGGAGATGCTCTGACCCTTCTGAACAGGCTCATGTCACCCTCATCACTGCCACTTGGTCACATTCCTCAATCAAATTGCTTTGCTTACAGTTTCCATTCAAGGTGTGAGATACATAATTCTTGACTCTAATTATCCTTAAAAATTAAATAAAATGTGAAATATTTATAAATATAGGTCCTGTAATCTCCTAGGTGCAAAAAAACCTCTTCAGCAAAACAGATTCTCATTTTTTAGAAGTAATTTAATGTTCAGTATTTAATTCCCTCTGAAAAGTGACATATTCATCTTACTACCAATACAAAAGGATTCATTAATACATATGGTTTTCTAGTAACACATAGCTTGCTTAAAGGATTCCTCAGCAATTCTTACCTTATCATTAAGCTCCCTGGAAATATCCAGATGTCTCTGACAGCAAACAATAGCTTCCTCAAAATTCCCAAGTACCTTTAACGTGTTGCCCAGATTCCCACTAGCTTTGGCTTCACCCAGCAGATCTCCAATAGTCCTAAAATTGCAGACATAGAGCAACCATCACATGGTGCGGAATGGGAAATCGGAGAGCAGACTGATGCATGGTGGACAGTTACAAGAACTGACGAAATTGCCAGGTTAAGGGAGGAGGAAGGATTTGTCCCCAACTGTGGTCAAGTCCTGCATTAGGTGTCTTTGTCTTTTAGTGGATCTATACAAAGTCATTGAGAGTCAGACACAAATGGTATATGAAATGCATACATTTTTATATTTGATAGTATCACATTATGGTTTTACACAGAGAAACACAATTGAGTTCTGCCTAGTAAAGAGCAGAGCTGTCTTAGAACCCCAGAGAACCTGCGAGTTCCGGAAACAGGAAAGGGCAAAGGAGAGCTGGATTTAAAGCAGCCATGTAATTAATTCTCTACAAACCTGGCAAGGTCTCCGTCACCACTGAGATGACGGGGCTGCAGCAGCTCCCACTCCCCAGGTAAAGGGCACCGAGGTACCTGCGGGGCTCCCCAGCCACCCTCACTCGCAGGCTGGGGTGGACAAAGGAGCCACCAACCGCTTGTCTTTACGAGAGAAGCGGAAAAGGAGAACGCGGTTAGGGCAAGACTCGGGTTACCTCGCGAGGGTGAGGTCATGGTGATGGTACTCCAAGGCCTTCGCATACTCATGCAGGTAGAAATAGGCATTGCCGAGCTGGCTGTAAATAGCACTGAGCGTCTTCAAATCTTCTGTCCCGACCTGCACAGCTGCTTCAAAGAAAGACACACCAGCTCGGCAATCTCCTGCCTTACAGAGGCGCTCGCCCTCCAGAGCCAGCTCCAGGCAGGAAGCCTCCATCCTGCACAATTGGAGCAGAAAGAGGAAAAGGTCATTTCTGACTAGTGCTTTGCCCGGTGCCTCTGCAGAGCTGGACGTCGTTCGGGCCTCTCCTCTCGCTTAGCACTGGGATTCAGCAGCACAGCGCGAGCCATGAACACAACATTACAAAAGCAAAGGCAGAAATGGAAACTGCAACTCTGAAAATGATAAGCAAATGTAACACTGTAACAGAGAGACAGAGAGCTTGGGAAAAAAAAAAAAAAAAAGGAGAGAGGAGACAAAAAAAAGTCCAAACTCTACCTTGTGCTTATATAGCACCATTAGGACTTTTAAAATGCAGAGAGCCTTTACTATGTAGACAAAATCAAGCATACAGATTACTGGTGAATACTCTACAAATAGAATATGGTATTTTACCTTTTTATCCTACTGGCTTACAAATGCAGAGCAAGAAATTAAAAGCTGTAAACAGGTGCAATGGATATGGCAGTGGTCAGAGAAGACGAAGATACCAACAATAGGTCTCCCTTCTGTCCACCAACACCCAAAAAAAGGCTATTTTATTTTTAGGTAGATAGCAGAGTTCCTTGCAAAACGGCTTACCAAAACCAATCACACATAAAACCCCAGTAAGTTCAATATTGCTATATATCAGAGATCACGACCACTTTTCCCCAAACTATTTCGCAAGTAATTCAATACTATTTGGTACTTATTTCCTATAATGCCAATGCTTATGAAAAGTCTCACAGTTAAAGGGAGAAAAAAGAAGTAGGTGGAATTAACAATGGGCTACATTTCAGTCTGAGTTACTTAACCTCAAATCCCACCGTTCGATAAGCTGTTGGAATATTTTTGATTATTATGAGCAAAGAAATGTGTAACTACAGTTATAAAGTCCTGCAAGCAGAAAAAAAAAAGATATTCATTAAAGAATTACATAGCAGAATTGCAGAACATTAACACATTTTGAACAATGAACAAAGGAAGCTTTGTTAAAGAACTATGATTGCCAAAAAACGGATACATGTGCTTACGCTATTATTATAAGTCAAAAAGAGGTAAAATTTCAAATTTTAGTTAAGTGTTAATGATTATACATAACATTTATTTTACAGCTTTCAGAGGCAAGGGAGTTAGGGAGGAGGAAGATGAGAAGGAAATGAAGCCTCAGTCTTGGTCTAGAACAATGCAGTACACAGGCCTTTTTGAAACACAAGCATTCTAAAAAGCTCACAAAAGTGCCTTCGTTCTACTTCAAAAAATATAGGAAAACTCAGAGACATTCTTCAATAAAAAATGTGTGCTAATATTATCCAAAAGTGCTACATGCCAGCCTTGTAAGAGTTTTCACACTGCTGTTGAATTGCTCTTCAACCCGCATTACCCAGTAAACAATACAGTGACTCTAACATATGTGTTTGCATCCAAACAGGGCATCTTATAAATTAAATATGTCCTTGTTCTGCCACCATTTGTGATTTACCAGTTGTAGGAATGAATCTTTTAGAATCCTGTCCCTACACTATTTTTCCCTTAATGTGCAAGAACAGCAATAGTAACAATCACAAATACTTGCTGGTCAAAAGTTATTTTATGATACTACTATTAAATAGCTGTTTTGACAAAACGTGGAGATGAAATATTAAATAGATCTGCAATATTTCATTTTTTAAATTAAAAAAACCAAAAGCATTACATTACACTGTATTGTATGCTATGAGGATTTTTTTTTTGAAAATAATCCACTGAATTCCCACAGAACTTTGAATTTAGCCCACAAAGAAAATAAGCAACCAGCACAGAGTAGTTCCATACCTGCTGCTCTTCGACATTCCACAACTTAAGCACAGGGAGATGAAAGACATTCTTTACTCTCAGAACTAAAAATAATGCACGCTCGGAGGTTGGTAAAGATGCAGACACCAGATTACAACTCAAGGATGACGTTCTTTCCAGGGCCAGTTCCTCAGTTTGGTTATCCATAACACATGCAGTATTTTTACGCTTGGAAATTATCCTCAAAGAGGTTAAAGAATTCCCATTTGCTAGGACACACAGCCTGAGTTTTTATTACAATGTGCATGCACTCTATGCAAAATGGAAATAGGTAGAAATGATTAAGTAGAGTATGCTACACCATCAGCAACTAAAGGTTTAAGATTTAAAACACCTCATTGGGTAATCTTAAATAATCCTATCCCAAGAGGTTCTCTCCGGGCACCTCATGTTAGCTGACAGGTCCAATTAAACTGATGTTTGGAAAATATGGTGCTCCTCAGATTTAGAACATTACACAAGCATACTGATTTCTTTAGTATTTTTAGTTTGAAGGACTTGCAGCAAAACACGTATGTGGCATAACAGTCAAACTCGATGTACCAAGCCTCAGTTCTATTAATTTAACTCATAAATAATTCCTGCTTTCATTTATAATTGCAATGCATCAATCAACTAATAAATGAAGGAAAGGCATAGCTTGAAAAGGTACAAAAGATAATTTCAGAGAATGCTACAGATGAGATTTTTTTGTTTTGTTTTGTTTTTCTGATATACCGCATTCGATTAATTTTACATTATTCGAAAGACTGCCAGGTGCCAAGGCAGCATCACCATTTCATGAAGGAACTTGAAACCTAATCTTTTGACTTTGCAAGCCAGATTTTATATAAATTATAGAAACAAAAGATCTACTTTTTCCATACAGAACATTAAAAAATATTCATCAATCTTGTCATAAACTTTAGCTTCATATCAACTGTTAGAAATACAAAGGTTAAATGAGAATGAGAATTAATCTTTGAGTAAAAAGAAACCTCAAATTTAAATATTATTAGGAGTACAGTTCTAGAAAGGTCGTACTGACAAGTTGTTAGAATCTGTGGGCAATAAATTAAAGTTTTATTTCCATTTAAACCAATTCTTACTGAGTTTTTACAACTTCAAAGTCTAACCGACAAAGAAGAGAAAAAGAGAGAGAGAAAATGAAATATTCATTTCAATTTACTTGGGCTGCCTGTATGCAATATTAATATTTTATTCATGCTATATGAGATCTATAGAGTCATTCGGTTATTTACCAAGTTGGTTCTAGCCAAACATTGACAAGCTTACTGATCAGGCTTACTGATGAAAACAAGTAGAGATAACTTCAAAGTCTAACCGACAAAGAAGAAAAAAAGAGAGAGAGAAAATGAAATATTTATTTCAATTTACTTCAGCTGCCTGTATACAATATTAATATTTTATTCACGCTGTATGAGAGCTATAGAGTGATTCGGTTATTTTACGAAGTCGGTTCTAGCCAAACATTGACAGGCTTACTGATCAATTATGAAAACAAGTAGATTTTTTTTATATATATATAATGCTTAATAAACAGTTATGAAAATAATGGCACATTTTAGAAAAAAAAATGTACATAACTGTTCTCCATTGAAAAGAATATCACCTCCTAGGAACGATCCCAGAAGTGGTTTAAATGTCCTATGTTAAATAGCATGTAGGCAGACAAGACAGGGTTAGGTTATCAATATTTTAGGAAGTCATTAAATAGTTACAAGGAGAATATGAAATTACTTTCTCTGTTCCCAAGGCTGAATTGAATTACTTATTTATTCAACACCCAATGCCTAAACAAAAGCTACATTGAATCAGCAGGGACACAAAGGCCCATTCATCTGGGTGCTCCTAACCAAATTCTGCTCCTGCCAAACACGGTCATGCCCTTCCAGATATGATTGTGGAAACCCTCACAGAGGGCCTCACTTTGTTATTCTCCTGCGGGTTGCCTGGACCTGCACTCCTCTGAAAGGCTGGCATCTCCTGAATAATTTCTCATTTGTAAAACTACCTCATCCTTATCTGTTACTCTGAGCTTTTCATCTCATCTGTCTCCCTTTTGCACCCCCCTCCCCTTTTTTAAAATCTCTTTTTCGACCTCTCTACATTCTCTTTTTTATCTTTGACACTTACGAGAGAAGAAAATAAACCTAAGGACATTTCTCCCCCAGCCTCCTTGCTTTTCTCCAGTGTTTTGAGTCTCCTTTCCTTTAGCTGTTCCAATCTTACTGTAAAGAACAGAAAAATGGTAAGAAATAAGGCAACAAAAGAAAGCAGGAAGACTGATTTTTAAACTGCTAATCTTTTTTTTTTTTTTTTCTGCTCAATCTCACAAAGGATTTCTGAACATTTCTAAGGCTCCCGTCTCAGCACCATCAGTTACAGGCTTCTAGTGTATGAATTCAACAGGCCAAGCAAGGCAAAGGAGGTTCTACAAATACTCACCCTATGGAGCTGTTATTAGTCGTGTTTGTTATCCCTAGCATTTTATTTTCAGTCACTGAACTAGGCTAAAGCTAAGACATATAAGGATTCCTTGTATCTAATTCATCATACCAGAATTTTTGCAAAAGAAAGAAAGCAGAGAAACTGTAGTTTATTTCCCATGTTTTCCCTAATTGGCCATGAAAATATTCTTCCTGCTAAGAACGCAGCTAACCAGAAATAATACTGTACTTGTATGAAATGGAAGACAAGGCCAATCTAACTGCAACCTAACACTGTCAGAACAGCTATTGGAGGATGTACTGCAGGTACCTTCATTTTTCCCAGAATTCGTTTTAAGCAATAGCACATGCTGTCTTGTAATTAAAGGCAGATAGAAACTTTGTTTCTGTCAGATAACAAAATAAAAAAATAAGACCTCCACAGTGAGGGTGCTAGGATGTGCAGAGAAGGGAATCAGGATTGATGCTTTTTATCTGTTTTTAAAGCAATTGTTTCAGTATTGCTATATCCTTTCCTACTGAACAAGCTGCAAGATTTATCCTTTGAAAGCACATGTACATCTGGTGTAATACATACAGCGCTGCTGTTGTTTTTCAGCATCATTAGAGGGAGCCTGCCACACTAACAGCTTATTCCACATCTAGAAAGGGTCTCCAGAAGCAAGATTGTAGACATTCGCAGAAGGGAAAGCACTTGTAATAACAATTCCTTTTACTCCAAGATATCAAAGCAGTTTTTATCTAAGCAATCAAATCTCCTTATTTAGGCAAAGAAAAATCTGCTCTAGGAGAAAGTACACCTAAAAATTCATCATTCACAACCGCAATATTGGGACAAGTAAACTGAATTTAATCACACAAAACCCAACAGTTTGCATGAGCACTCTAAAAGGTAAACAGAGAGTACTAAATAAGAATATTTCACATCATTCTTACAAATCAAATCACAATAAAGAAATAAACACTCATGTACTATTCCGAAGCAGCCAACAGCTCCAGTGCCATACAACCATGTACTTATACTAGTATGTTCTCAGAAGCGGATTTTCATTTTTTAAAAATTGAGAAAAGCAAGAAGAAAATAAGGAGCATCAGCTTGACTTTCAACTTCAATAATACTAACAACAGATGACAAACTTTTTGCTGCAAATTTGCTTAATTTTCTATAATTAAAGTTAATACAGTCTTACCTGTACCGAACATGAAAGGAACGATCTTCCCGCATGTTTATTAAAACATTACTTTCCTCCATTGGGTTGCATTATCAGTAGAGAAATTAATATTGTTCTGTAGCACAGGAAATACTTTAATACGGAGAATTGTTCTCTGAACACCGTTCCAGTTAGTATATTAATAAGTTGGAGTCAAGATATCCTAAGCTTCTGTTGAAATACTCTTCCTTATTAATAAGGTTAGGAAGTCAGTCAGATACATCTTAAACATTCAGCACCGTGTTCAAGTTCTTGCATCTGTGGCCCTTTCAGCTCCATTCAGCTGCGTTTCTGCAAAGGGAACACAAGATGCTTGGCTTGAAGTCTCATTTCAATTAATAACTTGTAACCATTTGCAGCTGATGCAAAAGCACAATGCAGCTCCTACCAAGCAGGGAGTGACAACCAAGAGCTTAAAGCCTGAGCCAAAATCTTCTAGACACACACGACAGTTCCTGAACTCAAGTGCGAAAGCGAGGAAGGTGCGACATAAAGCGGCCCTCTCTCTTTTTAATTGGAAAATTTGAGTAATATAGTGAAGTTCCAGGAGAAAAACTTGAAGGAGGAAAGCTACAGATGAAACGCAGAATATGAAACCAAACAGTTTTCCATGTAAGCAGCAGCACTAAAGCCATGACTGCCTGCTAAGGGTCCACCGCAATCCCAGCTGCTAGTGTCAGCCAACACTGTAAGCACAGCGGCCGCAGAGCGCTAACACCTCCCCCCATCCTCAAATGCCCAGCACAAGCTCCAAATGCTGCTCCGAAGGGACCAGTAGTTCCCTGCGAATTTGTGAATTGGGCTTAGGCTGGCAGGGAAACAAATAACAGAAAAGAAGTTTTGTGTCCAAAAGCTTACACGCTTTCAAGTGTAATTTTAGTAGAGGAACTGACATATTCATTGCTCAGTGCTATTATTGCCATGCTTTGCAAGTAAAAATATAGTTGTGGAATTCCCAAATGCATATTTCATCAAGGCATTGCAGAGGCATCAAAGACAAAAAAGGAAAACACGAGCATAATTCAGGTTTTCAGCTGTCGCCAGGATAAAGTGCATCTGTGTCTATTTTTAATTTTAGATGTCGGCAGTGCCTTTTCTCTCATCAGCTTTTTCAAGCATCAGCTGTGGAGGTTGGTGCTTCCCATTACCTACTTGACAACCCCCCTCACACTGATCACTCACATGTTGTGGCCAAAACCTATTTGGTCCCTCCATGCTTATCCTTAAAATTACCACGCCTCAACAAATGGGTGTGGGTTCATTTCTGCAACTACAAAGCGTGACACACACATTTTACAACACCAGTGCAGACCGGAGAGACCACAGTGCAGGCACCTGCTCTCCCGAAGCATGTCCAAACCCCAAGCCAGGTAATTCCAACAGCAGGTTGCCCAGCCCACAGCGACCGCGTGGGCGCACGCACGGTGCTCAGCCAGGGCAGGTAGGGAAGGGCCTCTTCCACAATGGGAGGCATCCTGTAAACTACTGTATCCCATAAACTAAAAACCATGTACATGGGCAACTGTCAAAAAATGCCTCCTTCTGTGTTTACATATTTATACTGTAATTGCAATTACCAAAATGATTAGTTTCTAGGAGTTTTTGGTTTTGTTTTTAATAAAAACACACTTTCAGGTATAAGCTGCCCTTTGGGGATTAAAGTATCGCAAGCTAAGCTTTGCTCTTTCTATTTAGTCACCGTAACTTTTCAAAGCATCTCTGTGTAATCAAGCCTTTCCTGAGCTGTGAATGAACACAAAAGCAATCCAGGGCGCATAGGACTTCAGTGGAAAAGCCTAGTAATTTAGAGAAGTTGGGAGAAGCTCTACTCAAGCTGCATATCTAAAAATCTGGCAGGCACCGATTGCATGTCCCCTGCATCCTTAACAGAGTAAGTTCTCAGGCTCCAGCAGCTTCACTGGCTCCTTCCCTCACCACACCACATCTGCTTGAACCCACTTCTGCCTTTCTGGAGTTTGGCATATGCTTTGTGGCCACCTCTTTGGCATCTCTACAGTCACATGCTGGACTGACTGACATACGCTGACTGGTCACTTGTGGACCGGCAAACAGACTAGGTAACAGTTCAGTTTCTCCTTTCTGAATGAGATGGATTGAATAATGCTTTCTCTACCCACCTGCTCTTTTTCACTGTAATTGCTAAATTAAAAATTATACAAATACTCTCTTTATCTGTCATGAACACTAAATCGCATGTAAATCAAGGACTCCCTGCACCCACAGCTGAGGATGAAAGCATGCATGTGAGTTCAATGCTAAAGAACACAGCTCCAGAGCAAAGGTCAACATTTATTATCTAACTGCTACTATAATGCAGTATTACAACAGATGTGGTAAAAGTGGAGAGATTTATCACCATAAAAGGCTTGATCTCATGTTTGGTTACCTAAACACACTGACCTTGCTGCATCACAAGTTCTAAACACGTGTAAGAAAGTTCATCTCTCTGTCCTTCCGGCTACACTAGTTCCTTCTCCTCTCCCTCCACTCACATCTCTTTTTAACAGATCAGATGCCTTCACTTAAAAGACATTCTACGAAAGGCAAATAAAGGTCTAGAAGCATTTTTACACACTTACTAGCATTATCTGTACATACTTTCCATTTAATTTATTTGGAAGAGCTGTTTTCCTTAATGTTTGTGCAGTACCTGGGGTTTAGCAAATTTGAGGCTTTAAGTACAGCTAAGAAGTCTGTAAGATTGCAAGCCTTTTAACTGCTGCATATCTATTTTGTTCATTTTCTTCTTCGTTGTTAACTGGTTATGCAAATATTTCCTTTAATAAGCAAGGCTTGTTGCTTGCCTAGCACTGTTTTGATTATTACTCACAGTATATGGCCTAAAACATTACCAGAGTCTTAATGACACAAATTATTTTTACCAGATCATGAGATAACTATTCCCAACAAGCATGATGATTGATCCCAGGAGCATCTCCCTACTTGGAGTCAAAAAGAAGCTCAACCACATTCTTAAGGGTTGTGTCTTTTTCTTTCCATCCAAAACACCCAAGCAAGCAGATACTAAGCACATATATATGCAGTGCAACAAGAGAAAACTATAGCGTACCAGAAACCAGACGGAAAAAAAAAATCAAATCAAGCAACATTCAAATTCCTGGCAAAAATTCAATATCTTACACATAATAAACACTGTATTTTTACCCAGCAATCACTGGGTAATCACAAATATACTGAAATGTAAATATATTAATTATAATGGAATCATTGCAGATGCACTTTAAATTTCCGGTCTGATTTAGAGCCAAAGGAAAAATTAGAAACTTAAGAGAACAACAAAACACATAACTGACAGAAAATATATATTCTAAATTCTATTCTATATATTCTAAATTGTAAATTCATCACAGCACTGTCATAGTTCCAGGCTTCATCTCCTCAATTTGAGTGCATAAAAGGGTGACCTACTAGGCACTCTTCAGTAGCATGAGGTACATGAATAGAAATCTCCAAGACCTCTGGCAAGGGTGTAGCCTATACTGTGAACTACAGGCTTAGAAACCACTGTTGCCAAAAATAAAAGAGCTAGCACATACTTTTATTAAATGGAATAGTAAACAGAGAAGGGGCAGAAATAAGTGATACTAGACTGACTTTTGAACATATTAAATATCAGCATTCAATGATGCAAAGGTGGATTTCTCAGTGCCTCTATCACAGACTCTCTTTCCAGAACAGAATATTCCCTCTTAATGAAATCAACATTGAGCTGGAAACCAGATTGCTACTTAACGTATGTAATTATTATCCAGTCTGCAAGTTAAAGAACTGGGTGTAGCCAGCACACGCAACCACAAACATTTTTACTGTAAGGATATCCCTGCAGTTAGCTTACGTAAGCCATCTGTTTCGATTCTGAAGCATGGCAATTGCACACTGTGACAAAATAAGAAAGGAAGGGAATCGGAAGTGCCAGCTGCCTAACACAACTCACATGCTTATAATAAATCTCACTGGGAACAAATATAAAAAATCTACTCAACTGAAAACAAATTCTAAAGGAAACAAGATCGAGCGCTCAAGAGAATATTCAAGTATCACAGCCCTTCGTGTCCTAAACAAGAGCAAAATATGAATAGCTGGTGATTTTTCAAACATTTGATACATCAAGCTACTAGGATCCCATCATTGTTATTTTTGAACAATGAGTTCTAAATTTTTACACCTTGTCATTTTCTGATACTTGAAAACAAGTACTTGCTGTCTTCACAGTATTTGCTGCTCCTTCCAAGCATCTAACAACTGGAGATGAGATTTACAGTTTTTAAGTGTTTAAATGCCCCAATGGACTTCAATGACAGCTCATAACAATGTCATTTCAAGCCAAATTGTGATTCTTTTACCTAAGCACAAAGTGAAATCACATCACCAAAAAAACAGTACGAGTTGTGTTACTGGTATCCGATCTCAAATTTGAACATCACTCTTTCTGCTTATTAAGCGCAATCTCATCATGTAAATGAACGTGCACTAGACTTCAAGCACATTAAATTATGAGAAAGAACACCAGATGGGGAATGTTCAACACAAAATGTTGGCTTTCTGTACTTAGCTCATACAGCGTGTTCATCACAAAGCTTTCCAATAAAATGCTCCATTTAGCTCAGCTCCTTCTGGAAGCATAATATCCCAACTTTTAAAAATAGAGCCTGGTACTTAAAAGGAAGCTGAGATTGCACAGGCACTTTACAGAAATAAGATGAAATTAATTTTAAGATTCCAAAAGTCACAAAAAATAACAACAACAACAAAAGATTGGAATCCAGGGCAATAAAAGTCAACAGTAGAGCTATGTGATGGAACAGAGCTGATACATCAAAGCTGCCACTTCACAATGCGATGCTCATTCATCAATGCAGCAAACATTCAGTGTAAAGATACCAGCAAACATTTTTATCCTACAAGGAACAGATACAGCTGTGACAGAACCTATATTACACAGTTAAAACTATCCACAGCAGTTAACTGTCAGCAGCATTTGCTCGGTGTGTCATGTCACCCTCAATGCGTCAGTATTAACAGCATGTTACAGGTGAGTGGAAAAATCCCATCAGAGAACTACAGAAGCAACTTTTCTCAATTATTTGTCTACAAACAAACAACATGCACTTACATCCTATATATGGAACATGCACACACTACAGTGAGAAAACCGTTTTGTTTTTGTAATTGTTTGCTTCCTATAGTCACACACAGAGTTGGAACATGCACACACTACAGTGAGAAAAACGTTCTGTTTTTGTAATTATATTACAATTATATTGTAATTATATTCACACACAGAGTGAAGTGAGTATTTATGCCACTTCCCTTAAGAAAATAATAAATAAAAAAATGTTGAAACTGTTGATGTGCCAAGTTGTAATTTGCTTTACATATTTATCCTAACATTGGGGCTGCAGGCACAGATTTATTCAAAAGCTATTCCAGTGCATTTTTTGCTGGGCTCTTGGAAGCAACAGATACTGAACTGGGCTCCCTTTTAGCTCTGTGTACACAGATCTATCCATTGTATTTAGACTTGACCACACAGGCATTCTTGATCACAGTACTACAGCTGTCTTCAGACAAGCTAGTGATTGCTAGGTATGGTTCAGGCTCCAAAGTTTTGCACGCAAAGAACAAAATTTCTACCAGCACCCTATTAGAATGATGGTAGAAAAAAATGTAAGTAAGCAGAAATAAGAAAGAAAATGCACTAACTTTGACAGCCTTTTTGGCAGACATGAACATTTTCCCTGTAATTCAGCCACATGCCAGTTTTTCCTCCATATTAGTAGAAGGTTTATAAAGCACACAAGTTTTACTATATGAACAAGAACTCCAAACACTGCCAGGTTTGAGTGCAAGGAAGCAACTTGACCTTAATTATCTGTTGGGGTTATTTTACAGGTATTACAGGTTTCAGACCATCTCTTACTAATTTTTACATCCCTTAATTCTCTTTACCACAAAGTAGTACTATTTTCTTTTTTCTTTTCCTTATTTTCTTTACCACAAAGTACTACTATTTTCTTTTTTCTTTTCCTTTTTTGGGGGGGGAAGAGGAGGAATGCAGATATTTTTACAGCTGATTTCCTATTAAATACTTAAAGAAAATTGTTTGCTTGTTTTCTTCACCTAGTATCTCTCTATTCCTTCATTCCTGTGAAGGACTAGCCATCGGATGTTTATCTTTCAGGAAATCATACCATCAACACTTACTCCTTAGAGGAAAATAACTTCATTAAGATGCTATCATTAACAACAACTGAAAACAAAACTATAGTTACCCAATCTGGACATGACTGACTATTGAAAAAAGTAAATAGATTGTGTAACTCTTAAAAAAAATATAGGAAAAGTTAAAAACACTGCTGTTGTAACAAAACAGAGGAAGACCAATAAACCGTGTAAAATATGAAAAACTTCGATAGTTAAGCTTTTTTGCAAATAGCATTTTTTTTTTTTTTTTTTTTTAAGAAAACTATCTGTTTCTTAACGCATCACCCTGACTGGATATAAGAAGCGAGACACATTTTTAGAACTTTATTCTTCTTCTCTGAAAGAAACAGACTTTCCAATTGTTTTCAGAGCTTTATCTTAGCATTCCTAGGAGGAGAGATTGGCCTTATAACTCCAAAAAAAAAAAAATCTGTGCAAGTTTTATATGAAAGTAATTAGGAGCATGAAGTCCTTCCACTCTGGGTAACCATTGACTAACTGGTGAGACGGAGCACTGACTCATGCACATGTAAGTTTAAACATGAGACTAAAAATCTATAGGCAAAGAATTGACAAGGACATCATGGTGAAGATGCCCTTTTTTTGCTGACATTTTCAGCTCTAACAACATTATGACTCATCACAAACAAGAGGTGCAGGGCTTTTATGCAAAACTCAAGCAGAGCCTGTTCTTTCTGGTCTTTTGGGGATGCGGGACCTCCCCAACTCCGAGATGGCCGTGTAGTTCTCCATGGAAACCCAGGATGCATGTGCTCCACAACCTGCCCGGGAAAGGCTTTAAAGGGGGAAAGAGGGAGGCAGCTCGAGGGGAGAATAATTTATGCCTTTGATAACTAGCCAATAAAGGGATAAATAATGAAATTCTGCTTAGCTATGTGCCTCTAACCTTAAAAACTATTAAAAAGCAAAAGAGGAAAGGGAAGGAGCCAGCACAGACCATCAAAGGCAACTCATCCCTAGGCTTAGCAAGGCGAGGTAGGATACAGTCAGTATAACATGCGTTTAGATATGCCACGATGCAATTTCTAACCGAAATTCTCGAGTTTGGAACTTGCTCCTCACAATCTTTGTGCTTCGCGACATGTTTGCAGGCCCTTGTTAGACGTAACACAACAACTAAGCATAACTGCTTTGGTATCTGTCTTTTTGCTACCGCCTCGTCATGGAGGAACGCGGATAATTCCGGTTTTATTTAGACCGGCAGAAGCTGGTTTCACTCTCAAGGCCACAAGCCCGGCGGCCACTCGCAGTTTATTCGCCGACACTCGGGGCCGCTCCACGCTGAAGGCCGCCCGCCCAGCAGGTG